CCTGCATAGGAGGTTCCACCTCAGGTTTTCTGCTGAGTTGGGAGGGGTTTTCCGTGACCATTTTGGGCATTGCTTATTGTTTTTTGCTGCACCATGCTTACACCTTACTGCCCTGTACTCGGAAGTCATGATCGTTTTTTTGTCTTTTGGTTGACCAAAAACTGAAGTTTTTTATCTCTAGATAGCAACCGAATCGATTTCCTTTGTTATCCTATTATAGGTGACCATTGCTTCTACCATACAATTGATTGCTGCTTCTAAACAGTGCACACGAAATGGTACTAATTGGTGTATGCTTTTTACATGGACATTTACATGAGAATGAAACTTTATGTATCTCTTCTAATGAATTTCTGTGAATATCTTATATATAGTTGGTATGATTAATAGCTCATTACAAGTGCTATGATAACTATTGGTGCCATTTAGGAAAGCTTACTGTTGTGAAAGCTCATAGTTCTTGCCATCAATGTAGTTTGGCTACATATGTATGCTGCTAGTGTGCCTGTTGGCCTTATTATGTGTATTGGAATGTGGTGGTTGCCACCATCTCCTCGTTGGCTGCTATTGTGTGCCATAAAGGGAAAAGGACATGAATGAGCTACAGTTATTGGTACATGGTACATGGTTCTCGAATTCTGAAAATGTGTGTATGCTGCTTGGATGTCCCTAATTATGGGCAACCGCTGCTTCGCTGAATGGGAATCTCTTGGAGGGAGTTTGAACACCTGCTTTGAACATTTGTTTAATTTGTTGCTTTTTTTTTTGGAGTTCGAAAACCTGCTTAATGTTAGTTTTTTGTTTAATCTGTTGCATTTTTATTTGGGAAATTTACATACATAGCACACAAATCTTGTGTATTTACTATGGTAGTTAGTTCAATATACTATGGTTTATGGTTTACATGTAGTTCCAAAAGGATACACTTTCTCCATCAGGTCCTCTCTGGCCAGTATATGTGCTTCTTAAGTTGTAATATTTTTCGGACATTTATTCCTGCGAATTGAATCTTTTTTGCTCAAGGTAATAGAAAGCTGAGTTTTGGTACAACATATAAAGCTGAGAAGTGATATTTATGAGAGTTCCATTCTCTGCAACGTTATTATGAAAGTTTGGGTGCAATGTATGGTGACCAGTTAGCTGTTATTAAAAATATGAAGAAAAGATGGATTTATATTGCTAACAAGGAGGTGTGGTCTCAGCACTGTGAGCCGAAAGCTTTGCTAATCATTATGTCGTTGAAGGTGTATGACCAAATGTAGGAAAACTAGTTGAAATACGTTAAGATACTTTTGAAATATTACATTAGACGAGGTTGAGTGCAATGAAGTTTTTTGCTTCAACATGGCCAAGAGCATCCTCATTGCCCAAATAACAATTGTCTCAGGAATCATACTATGGTACTTATGGGTATGTACAAAATCATCGGCACAAAATTTATAGCAGCTTGGATGGCCCAATTCTTTAAGGGCAACCGCTGCTATAAGATCTGTATAATAAGTATATTTTCTATATTTCCTCAATTTTTGGACTGATCTATTCTATTTTTAATAACTGCAGGACGATGAGTTCAAAATATTCAGGGAAGTCCGAGAAAGTGATGTGTCGGTGCGGGCTACCATCATTGCTACTCACGTCACGCCAGACACATAGCTTCAGAAGACAATTTTACAGGTGCACGCGGTGGGCACAACGACAAGAGGACTGCATTTTCTTCAGGTGGGCCGACAAGGAGTCTGTTTCTATGATATCCCAACTAGACACCGCTACTCAAATTTCGTTGATATCAAAATTTCAAAACACCGCATCTGGTTCGAGTGTTTCCTTTGCTACTGCATCTTAGGCGGACAGCTTTGGTCAGGGTTCTGGAGTGTCAAAGCCGGGCAGCATGGGCCGTGATATGTTGTTACATTTTAAAGTCAATATTATAATTTTTTTCTTGTCATTTTAACATGTTATTTTTTTTTTTTTTTTTCACATTGTACTCCATACTAGTATGTGAAGGAGCATTTTACTTTTGTATGCGTCACTTTGCTCGTTTGATTTGATCGAATATATTTGAGTTATATAAATGTAACTCTACGTTTTTGTATTTTCTTGTATTAACATTTGATCTCTAATTTTGTTGAGAAAATAACAACTTATGCTACACAGATTATTCATTCAACTAAAAGAAATTGCAAATAAGTTATTTACAAAAACTCACTAACCAAACAACTAAACAACTTACTCAGAACAGGGGCAGAATGATCATTTTTTTCAAAATCAGTTGTTTTCCAAATGCACAAACCAAATAGTCAGCCAGCTTATTCGGATCAGTTGTTCATCAGCAGATTATCAGGATAAGCTGCTTATCAGCAAAAGTTAGATAAGCTGCAGCTGCCCCAAACAGACCCTCAATTAACATGATACTTCCAGCCTTATAGCCAAGATGACTACTATCGAAATTTTGCTCACAGTCGCTCTCAACAACCACTAAAATGTTCTATAATTGGACATGCCAAACATTTTCTTACATGACACCTTAAATGATGAAATATACATGTCCCAACCTCAGGGATTCCAAAATATTCAACACCAATACCATGTATGCAAGTTAAGGAAGGCTCTCTATTGCTTAATACAGGCTACCATATTATGGTATTCCACTTTCTCCCCCTACCTCAAATAGTAAGGCTTCACCGTTTGTAAATCAAATCCCTCTTTACCTATTCACCACAAAAACAACTTCTAGATATATCTTTTCATTTATGTGGATGATAGATTTCAAATGAAAGAACAGTGCAATATTTCTAACATTCTCAGCATTCAATTATGTTACAACAAATCTGGTGTTATCCTAAACCAAACAATATACATTACAAATTTACTTCAAACCACAGCTTCCCAAAACTGCAGACCTGTTCTGACCCCTTGTTCTTCCAAACAACCATCAAATGCATTGTTATAACAACCCTTGGTTGATCCATCATCATACATGAGCCTAGTAGGCTCACTATAATACTTAACCATTACAAGACCTGACATAGCCTATGCAGTTAACCAAGTTTGACAACATATGCAGACTCTCACCGAAAGTTACTTCTAGGTCATCAAACACATTCTCAACTATCTCAAAGATATTTAACTCATGGCATTTACTTTACCGAAGGACCCTCTGCACTACGAACTTATTCAGATTCAGATTGGGCCAATGATCCCATCATTAGAGATCTAAATTAGACCATTACAACTTCCTGGCCAAAAACTACATTTCATGAAAAACTCAAAAATAACAAATAATAGTCATGTCATCAACATAAACATAATACAGAGCTCTCTCCTCGGCATATACTAAACGCCTCTGGCGCCAAAGGCTCTTAGCTGAATTTCAAATCTCTGTTATGACGCCAACCACAATTCACTGCATAACACCTCCACACTTGCCTTAGTAACAATCTCATCTTTCATGCATGCACTAAACACATTGAAGTAGACCATCATTTTGTCAGGGTTCAGATTGAAATGAAAATTCTGAAAGTACAACATATGACTGCATTGAATCAAATTGCATACATCCTCACAAAAGCCTTGCCTACACCTACATTCCCAAAAGTCAGACAAACTTACCATCCAACTAAGGGATACTAAGTTTGAGAGGCCATAACAGCATTCTACATACAGTTACAGTGGTCCCCAAATTGTTATTTCAACACCTACATCAGCACTTACATAACTAAATATTTGATCCTCTCACTCTCCACCAGTACCACAGACTTCTTTATGTAACTCTGCCTACATACTAACTGCCAATGTAATAGATGTATGCTTAGATTGAATACTACAAGCTTCTAATTTCTTCTAGCTATAAACTACATCTCCATATATGAAGTTCATAAAGGCTTATCAAAATTTCACAATAAAAACATCAATTTTTAACGCGAGAGGAACTTAAATTTTAGATTGGAAAAAGCTTGAAGATCTAAAAAACTGTAGAGATCTATCCAATTGCCAACATCCAACCACCATCTCCCGAATGATATCATCTGATCACCATTGTTCAATGTTTGACGTTTGACTATTGTAACCCTAACACCGTCATCCAATTGCCATCATCATAACACCATCGACCAACCAGCATCAAGTGACCACCTTCATCCAATAGCAATGACCTGACCACCGTCATTCGACCAATGTTGCCAAACATTATCATCTAACCATCATCATATAATAATTATCGTCGCCATACAATTATCTTATAACTATCATAATTTTGCCATAGTAACTCAAATGTTGTCACATCATCTTCACTTTAACTACTTCCATCATAGATACAAAATAACAAGCGAATATTTCAATGCATTACTTTGTCATCATATCTTCTTTAATTAAAAGGAAAACAAATATGTGTAATCTCAACAAACACAATGAATTATTTCCACATGGCCATACTCATAGTTTCTTTTTCTTTTCTGACGTCTCATGTAAAAATTTCATTGTCTCTTTTACTCTTCTCATTTATCTATTTTAGTGTGAAATCTTCTTGTAATAATAGGTCGTAAAACCTCCACTCTATTATTATTCTGAATTTTCTATCACGCAACAACGATGGTCAAAACTATAGTGCCCCCTAACTATATTGCTAAATTCATTATGCCCAAAGAAAATACAAATAACTAAAAAAAAGATGAACAAATCAACCAAGTCAACAAAAACGGAGCCTCTCATGAAACCGATAATAGAGTTGGCATCATACTTAGAACTCCACAAGGCAATTCCATCATCCTAATCAATTAGATCATCCAAAATTAATCACCTAAAATCCTCATATGTACATTTAGAGCACACTAATCGAACACTCAGATCATAATCCCCATATACTAACTGCTAATTTCTAATAGTAAAACAAGACTAATAAAGTTGTCCTTAAAATGCTTGAAAGTTGCAGCTCACCAACAAGATAATGTCTTTGAATTCTTTCTCAAATTGATCCATCACCTTCTACGAGAAAGAAGAAAGGATCAACACGATCCACTCTTCAACTTCATAGATATCTGTTCTTCAATACAGTCACTAACACGAACAACTGAACCCCGTAACAATACACCAACAACTAACAAGAATCTAACAATAAAGAAAAGAGAAAATCAAAATTGCCATTTTCAACATCTTACCCCTCCGGTTTGTTCTGCCTCTTGAATTCCAGCACAAGCTCCGCATCCACATTTTCCTCCGGCTCCCATGTCGCCTCCTCAATATCCATCCACTTCACCAGATATTCCTTCCCTCCCCCATCCACCTCCCTCTCTCCCACCACTCCCTCCGCCACTCCATACTCCAACCCAGCCTCAAAATCAGCCACCAAATCCTCCCCCACCCTCGCTTTCCTCACCCACTCCCTATCACCCCCATCCCTCCACTCCACCAGATACTCCCGCCTCTCTCCCTCCCCCCTC